ACAATTACATAAACACAGAAGAGCACCATTATATGTACAAAGATTTAAGAACCCCTAAGGTTTGCATATCCTGAAGTGCAAGTGAGTGGTTACAAAGTATTCCCCTGAAAAAAAAAATTCACATGAGGTTTATTTGCTAATAACAGTGAGTTCCCAAAACAAAGGGAAACAGATGAAATCTTGAGAGGATTGTCTAGCTTTTTTCAAAAAGAAAAGTGCAGGGAGAACATCGTTGGAGTGTGTTGTCTAACATTTTTTTTCAAGAAAGACGGTCTCATTCCCAAGTCGTAATATACCGGTGCTTTGGATTGGTGGCTTGTAGATAGTTGATTGTTGAGACCTAGCAACCTCTGTTCTGATTGGTTGTTTTCATTCAGGCACAGTGGATTGTTTCAAATACCATTAGGAGCACTAGGAGGAGACTTTTTTTTACAGAGTATCTGTCTCATGCACCACGGTCAGAATATAGCTAAAGTTTCAGCAAATATGACAAAAAGTTTTTTTTTAATAAAAGTTACCTACTGCAGTAAAGTAACTTTCTTCCTTGTAGTAGTTGTTGCTGGTCTTTAAAATAGCTTTACAATCATGCTTCTGGGTTGAATGCAGACTTTAAAAGTGCTACTGTGTAAAGGGACAGACCATGACATCCTGATATAAAAGTCAGTTAAGAGATTAAATCAAAATATTAGATTCTGTATGCAGATAGTGAAATGCAAACTGTGTCAAGAGTCATGTTAAATATAGCTAGTGGAAGACACTGTCCATGGTGTGCATGAGCACGAGTAGGGAGAGCCCTCCTCCTCACACACATTCAAAACATTCCACACTGGAAAAGGTCTGAGGTCACATAGTCTGTATGAGGCGGGACCCTGTTTGACACTCGCATAAACACACACGCATACACACACAAATACACTAAACACAAATACACACACAGAACTTACATCCAGATGAGTCCATGGCAGTTATGTTATTGTCATGAGAAGGAAAGAAGACTTGAGTTTAACTGCCTGATGTGTGTGTGTGTGGAGGAGGGTGGGCAGGGTGAGGCCTTGACTCATCTGAGGTGTGTCCTCATCCCAGGTGGTTTGGGGTTCACTGTAAGAGAAAAGAGGAAGACTCAAAAGATGATACTGACGTTATATGTAAGGATGAGAAACAATTAGGGTACTTTTGCTGCTACCTCTGTTTTCCTTGCTGGGATAGATCCGAGGGAAAGGCTTGAATTCATCAGGAGGAGGTAAGTCTTCTACAGGGTGGAACTGGAACTTGGATTCAAAATCATCTGCTCGAGGTAGATGTACAGTAAGGATGCAATTAAAGGCTGCCATTTTGTGCCTTTTTTTTAAATACAAAGTTAATCAAGTTCTACCTCAATCAAAGGCCTAAATCTTCCTCTTCAACAATAAACTCAAGTCACTTTGTCACCCTTATATGACAACACTTCTCTTGTCTCCTTCCCTCTAGTACTTTTGCTCTAAAAAAGAAGCTCATTGTTTTCTTCCAAAAAAATCATAATTTATTGCAATGCTCTTATCCACACAGATACACAAAGCCATAAAATTAAAGTAGAGATAAGAGCAACATAATAATGTATTCCACAAGCAATGAAAACTGCTGTGAGGCACAAAACAATTTCACTTAAAACTTAAGTCATCCTTACAAACTAGTAATCTCTACTGCTTAGTGTGTGTGGAAGTTACTTTCAGTACAACAGTCAGTCCATACTGTTCACATGCAGCGGATGTTTCTCATCATGAATAGGGGAAATTACTTTTTCTTGCACTCTATCCTTATTATTTTGGAACAACACTACAGCTCTAATGATCAAGGAAATAAGGCAATATTAAAACAAAAATTAAATTGTACCGCTGCTCTTTTCAAGTCACACTGGATATGAAAATACACAATATGTATTCTAAAATCTCAGATATATATTTGCAAGATACACATAGTCTCACCGAGGCTGTGCAGGTATCCATTCCTGAGGCTTGATGGAGGCAGTGGAGGTGGAGGTGGAGGTGGAGGAATGCGGCTGGACAGCTCAGTAGAGGGGGAACGTGCCGGAGGAGCTGGAGGGGGAGCCAGACGACTCATACCTGTTGCCATGGGTGACAAGAGCAGAGGGGTGTCAGACATCAGTGATAAAATCTGCAACCTAAAAATGACATCCAAATCCAACATGACCTTTTATGATTACTGAGACAGAGAGGCCATATTCACACTTGTTTACACAACACATACTCTGTTGGCTTTAATGACTAGCTGCAACAGCTGCAGCAGTTTCTAACCTACACTTGGTTGGAGAAAAACGCACAACTAGCAATTACTACAAATATTTCTATATTTTTTACCCCATAAACATGTTGTTGAATTATATGTTGTAAAATGTATAATTACGTATGAATAATATAGCCATTTGCATGTAGATTTCAAACAATATGAGATACATGTATTGTGTATGTTCAGTATACATCCTATAACCCCTGTGAACAGTTCTACCAAAGAGGTTTTATCATCTAGAATTGACTAATTTGAACAATTTTTACAGGAATGAAACAGAATGTCACAAAAACAGAGAAAAGATTTGATAAAAGTCAGAAAAATATTTATCTAATTTTGTGTAACAGAATCAATTATCTCGTCCTAACCATAAAAATCCTCTCCCAACCCCTCAGATTTAATTTGTGACACTCTTGTAGGTTTCCCAAAAACGTTGGGTAGGGAACTACTACTAAAAATGATTTCTCTTGTATATCTAGCACATTCTCTTATGCCTATTTACATAATCAGTTTCACAGTTTAGCGCCATCTTATTATCAACAATCATGGCTGTACATTGTGTTTGAACATGAATGAAAAACACCTCTGCCTTGGAAAGCTCACTGCCAAACAATATGACAGCAGGTCCTTTTTCATCCACCTCGCAAAAATTACAATTCCTCGTTTTGGGATCCACCTACCTGCACTTCTGGGCACAGCAGGCGGACGTCGGGTAGGAGCGTTGCAGGGGTAAGAGGGAGGCAGAGAGCGCATGGCTGGGGAGGGCACTGGGGCAAGCTTGGGTGGTGGAGGCGGGAGGGTGGAGGGGCAGCAAGGGGTAAAAGAAGC